AATGGCGTAAAGAAAAACCGGATAAGCCTACGCAAAACGGAACATCAACAACCAAAATTCAAACACCTGTACATAAATCTTCAAAAAAATCTACATTCAGAAGATCGTCTAAAAAAATTGCAAGAAGTTCGACTAAAACAACCTCACCGTTTTCCGTGAAAACAACTGAAACACTTACATCAACTAATACAGAAACAGAAGAAAAGGGAGTGCTGGAATTTGAAGTTAAAGAAACAAAAAGCTTCACAAAGGCTGTACAGTTTACAAGAAGACCTTTTCTTTGGTCAAGTACACATAGCATAACCTTATCTATCAAAGAAAAAGAAACAACAACACCTTCAAGCACCACATCACCACCGGATATTACAATTGCAGTGACTTCGTTCTTGACTTCAGTAATATCACCATCAACTATTACATCGGTAGAGGAAGAGAAAGAAACGGGTGCGCTGGACTTTGAAATTGTTATGGAAACAAAACGCCTAACAAGGATGCTAAATTTGACAACTCTAACTAAAAGTATTCTATTATCTCCGATCTCCGAAACAAAAACATCACCCTGCACTACACCATTACCTACGTTTCATGTAAATACTACGAAACCTGCAACTGAGACTTTACTAAAAATATTTAGTTCGTTTGTGTCAACTACTGTTGAAGAAGAAAGAACTTCACTTGGTACAACACCATCACCGGATATATTACCCACAATAATTTCCTTCCTGACTGCCGTCACTTCATCTTTCATTACATTTACTTCCGAAAGCAATCCTAATATATCAGTATCACAGTTTAAAATCAACATTATTGTAACTACTATAAAGTCCGCAACTGAATCTATGTCGACAGAACTTAGTGCAATTGAATCTACATCATCACTAAATATCTCACCTACAATAACTTCTTTTCTAACCCCCGTGACTTTATCTTTAATCACATTCACTTCGGAAAGTCCTCCTAGTATATCGGTATCACAGTTGGAAACTAGCATTACTGTAACTACTATGAAGTTCGTTACTGAATCTGTACTCAAAACAGTTAGCGCAGATCAATTTCTTACCGTAGAAGAAACAAAATCATCGTTAAGTGTTACATCACCACCACATATCTCACCTACAATAACTTCTTTCCTAACTTCACAATTAGAAACCAGCATTAGTGTAACTACTATGAAGTCCGCAACTGAATCTATGTCGACAGAACTTAGTGCAATCGAATTATCTACAATAGAAGAAACAAAATCATCGTTAATTGCTACATCAGCACTAAATATCTCACATACACTAATTTATTTTCTAACTTCTGTCACTTCACCTTTAATCACATTCACTTCTGAAAGTCCTACTAGTATATCGGTATCACAGTTGGAAGCTAACATGACTGTAACTACTATGAAGTCCGCAACTGAATCTGTACTCAAAACAGTTAGCGCAGATGAAGTTCTTACCGTAGAAGAAACAATATCATCGTTAAGTGTTACATCACCACCACATATCTCACCTACAATAACTTCTTTCCTAACTTCACAATTAGAAACCAGCATTGTTATAACTACTATGAAGTCCGTAAATGAGTCTATGTCGACAGAACTTAGTGCAATTGAATTATCTACAGTAGAAGAAACAAAATCATCGTTAAGTCTTACATCACCACTAAATGTCTCACCTACAATAACTTCTTCTCCAACCTCTGTCATTTCACATTTAATCACATTCACTTCGGAAAGTCCTCCTAATATATCAATATCACAGTTGGAAACTAGCATTACTGTAACTACTGTGAAGTCCGCAACTGAATCTATGTCGACACAACTTAGTGCAATTGAATCTACAGTAGAAGACACAAAATCTTCGTCAGGTGTTTCATCAGCACTAAATGTCTCACCTACAATAACTTCTTCTCTAACCTCTGTCATTTCACCTTTAATCACATTCACTTCGGAAAATCCTCATAATATATCAGTATCACAGGTGGAAACTAGCATTACTGTAACTACTGTGAAGTCCACAACTCAATCTATGTCGAGAGAACTTAGTGCAATTGAATCTACCGTAGAAGAAACAAAATCATCGTTAGGTGTTACATCGCCACTAAATGTCTCATTTATAATATCTTCTTCTCTAACCTCTGTCACTTCACCTTTAATCACATTCACTTCGGAAAGTCCTTCTAATATATCAGTATCACAGTTGGAAACTTGCATTACTGTAACTACTGTGAAGTCCGCAACTGAATCTATGTCGACACAACTTAGTGCAATTGAATCTACAGTAGAAGAAACAAAATCATCGTCAGGTGTTACATCAGCACTAAACGTCTCACCTACAATAACTTCTCTTCTAACTTCTGTCACTTCATCTTTAATCACATTCACTTCGGAAAGTCCTCCTAATATATCAGTATCACAGGTGGAAACTAGCATTACTGTAACTACTGTGAAATCCGCAACTGAATCTATGTCGACACAACTTAGTGCAATTAAATCTACAGTAGAAGAAACAAAATCATCGTCAGTTGTTACATCAGCACTAAACGTCTCACCTACAATAACTTCTGTCACTTCACCTTTAATCACATTCACTTCGGAAAGTCCTAGCATTACTGTAACTACTGTGAAGTCCGCAACTGAATCTATGTCGACACAACTTAGTGCAATTGAATCTACAGTAGAAGAAACGAAATTATCGTCAGGTGTTACATCAGCACTAAACGTCTCACCTACAATAACTTCTTTTCTAACTTCTGTCACTTCACCTTTAATCGCATTCACTTCGGAAAGTCCCCCTAATATATCCGTATCACAGTTGGAAACTAGCATTACTGTAACTACTGTGAAGTCCGCAACTGAATCTATGTCGACACAACTTAGTGCAATTGAATCTACAGTAGAAGAAACAAAATCATCGTTAAGTGTTACATCAGCACTAAACGTCTCACCTACAATAACTTCTTTTCTAACTTCTGTCACTTCACCTTTAATCACATTCACTTCGGAAAGTCCTTCTAGTATATCAGTATCACAGTTGGAAACTAGCATTACTGTAACTACTATAAAGTCCGCAACTGAATCTGTACTCCAAACACTTAGTGTAGATGACTTTCATACCGTAGAAGATACAGAATCATCATTAAGTGTTATATCACCATCACATATCTCACCTACAATAACTTCTTTTCTAACTTCACAATTCGAAACCAGCATTGTTGTAACTTCTATGAAGTCCGCAACTAAGTCTATGTCGAGAGAACTTAGTGCAATTGAATCTACCGCAGAAGAAACAAAATCATCGTTAGGTGTTACATCACCACTAAATATCTCATTTATAATATCTTCGTCTCTAACCTCTGTCACTTCACCTTTAATCACATTCACTTCGGAAAGTCCTTCTAATATATCAGTATCACAGTTGGAAACTTGCATTACTGTAACTACTGTGAAATCCGCAACTGAATCTTTGTCGACACAACTTAGTGCAATTGAATCTACAGTAGAAGAAACAAAATCATCGTCAGGTGTTACATCAGCACTAAACGTCTCACCTACAATAACTTCTCTTCTAACTTCTGTCACTTCATCTTTAATCACATTCACTTCGGAAAGTCCTCCTAATATATCAGTATCACAGGTGGAAACTAGCATTACTGTAACTACTGTGAAATCCGCAACTGAATCTATGTCGACACAACTTAGTGCAATTAAATCTACAGTAGAAGAAACAAAATCATCGTCAGTTGTTACATCAGCACTAAACGTCTCACCTACAATAACTTCTGTCACTTCACCTTTAATCACATTCACTTCGGAAAGTCCTAGCATTACTGTAACTACTGTGAAGTCCGCAACTAAGTCTATGTCGAGAGAACTTAGTGCAATTGAATCTACCGCAGAAGAAACAAAATCATCGTCAGGTGTTACATCAGCACTAAACGTCTCACCTACAATAACTTCTTTTCTAACTTCTGTCACTTCACCTTTAATCGCATTCACTTCGGAAAGTCCCCCTAATATATCCGTATCACAGTTGGAAACTAGCATTACTGTAACTACTGTGAAGTCCGCAACTGAATCTATGTCGACACAACTTAGTGCAATTGAATCTACAGTAGAAGAAACAAAATCATCGTTAAGTGTTACATCAGCACTAAACGTCTCACCTACAATAACTTCTTTTCTAACTTCTGTCACTTCACCTTTAATCACATTCACTTCGGAAAGTCCTTCTAGTATATCAGTATCACAGTTGGAAACTAGCATTACTGTAACTACTATAAAGTCCGCAACTGAATCTGTACTCCAAACACTTAGTGTAGATGACTTTCATACCGTAGAAGATACAGAATCATCATTAAGTGTTATATCACCATCACATATCTCACCTACAATAACTTCTTTTCTAACTTCACAATTCGAAACCAGCATTGTTGTAACTTCTATGAAGTCCGCAACTAAGTCTATGTCGAGAGAACTTAGTGCAATTGAATCTACCGCAGAAGAAACAAAATCATCGTTAGGTGTTACATCACCACTAAATATCTCATCTACAATATCTTCGTCTCTAACTTCTGTCACTTCACCTTTAATCACATTCACTTCGGAAAGTCCTCCTAATATATCAGTATCACAGTTAGAATCTAGCATTACTTTAACTACTGTGAAGTCCGCAACTGAATCTATGTCGACACAACTTAGTGCAATTGAATCTACAGTAGAAGAAACAAAATCATCGTTAAGTGTTACATCACTACTAAATGTCTCACCTACAACAACTTCTTCTCTAACCTCTGTCACTTCACCTTTAATCACATTCACTTCGGAAAGTCCTCCTAATATATCAGTATCACAGGTGGAAACTAGCATTACTGTAACTACTGTGAAGTCCGCAACTGAATCTATGTTGACACAACTTAGTGCAATTGAATCTACAGTAGAAGAAACAAAATCATCGTTAAGTGTTACATCACCACTAAATGTCTCACCTACAATACCTTCTTTTCTAACTTCTGTCACTTCACCTTTAATCACATTCACTTCGGAAAGTCCTTCTAGTATATCGGTATCACAGTTGGAAACCAGCATTACTGTAACTACTGTGAAGTCCGCAACTGAATCTATGTCGACACAATTTAGTGCAATTGAATCTACAGTAGAAGAAACAAAATCACCGTCAGGTGTTACATCAGCACTAAATGTCTCAGCTACAACAACTTCTTCTCTAACTTCTGTCATTTCACCTTTAATCATATTCACTTCGGAAAGTCCTCCTAATATATCCATATCACAGTTGGAAACTAGCATTACTGTAACTACTGTGAAGTCTGCAACTGAATCTATGTCGACACAACTTAGTGCAATTGAATTATCTACAGTAGAAGAAACAAAATCATCGTTAAGTGTAACATCACCACTAAATATTTCATCTACAATAGCTTCGTCTCTAACTTCTGTCACTTCACCTTTAATCACATTCACTTCTGAAAGCCCTCCTAATATATCAGTATCACATTTCGAAACCGGCATTATTGTAACTACTATGAAGTTCACAAATGAATCTGTGTCGACACAACTTAGTGCAATTGAATTATTTACAGTAGAAGAAACAAAATCATCGTCAGTTGTTACATCAGCACTAAACGCCTCACCTACAATAACTTCTCTTCTAACTTCTGTCACTTCACCTTTAATCACATTCACTTCGGAAAGTCCTTCTAGTTTATCGGTATCACAGTTGGTAACCAGCATTACTGTATCTACTATGAAGTCCGCAACTGAATCTGTACTCAAAACAGTTAGCGCAGATGAAGTTCTTACCGTAGAAGAAACAAAATCATGGTTAAGTGCTACATCTCCACCACATACCTCACCTACAGTAACTTCTTTACTAACTTCACAATTCGAAACTATCATTACTGTAACTACTATGAAGTTGACTACTGATTCTATGTTGACAGAACTTAGTGCAATTAAATTATCTACAATAGAAGAAACAAAATCATCGTTAAGTATTCCATTATCACGAGATATCTTACCTACAATAACTTCATTCTTAACCTCTGCTACTTCACTTTTAATCACATTTGCTTTCGAAAGTCATCCTAATACATCGGTATCACAGTTCGAGACCAGCACTGTTAAAACTACTGTGAAATCTACAGCTAAATCTGTATCCACAGCACTTACTGCAGTTGAATTCACTTCCATAGAAGAAAGAAAATCATCGTTAAATATTAAATCATCACCAGTTATTGCAACTTCAATAAATTCTATGCTATTATATGTGACTTCAACCTCAATTACATTTACGTCGTTAAGTTCTCTTAGTTCATCGGATTCCTACTTAGCAACCACAATTCTTCTAACTGCTACGAAATCTGCTCCTGAATCTCTACTGAAAATACTCAGTTCAAATATATCAGTTACGACTATGGCAAAGTTTTCAACTGCAACGTCATCATATATTACTGTTGTATCTTCATCTACCACTGAAGGGGAGCTAGAATATGATTATGAAGTTATAAGGCAGTTAGTGACCGTGATGAGAGTTCCTGTTAGCGTCTGTGAAAACTGTACAATTACCCAGCCGACACCCATGACAAGGGAGTTTCATTTTTGGTAACACTTGTATAATGGATATACCAACATTGTCTGTTATACATACATTTATTCTATTTACAATATCTACTCTTAAAATTATTGCTATTGAAACAATTTAAAATTATAATGTATGATTATTACAGTCGATATTTTGTATTAAGTTGAAGATATCTCTGTGTCATTTTATACCACATTATTTTAATATAAGAGGTATTATCGTTCAGCTATATGAAAAATAAAGAAATAACTCAAATATAACTCGTGGGTTATGTCATTGGTGTTTAAAAAGATTCAAACTTATATATAAAATATATTAAGTTAATAAAAATTAAGTAAAAATTTTTATTTATTATTATTTCATATATTTACTATTTTTATTTATTTTTATTCAATCAATTTAAAAAAATTGTTGAAAAATTATTTAAAAATTTCCTAGACTATTTAACTTCCTACTGAATGACAATAAACATTATTAAATATCAAATTATAACTTTTAACTTACCTACGTTTCATATTATGATTTGTTAACAAATATTTTGACAAATGACTAAATTTTATTATAAATTTTCGGAATGGTTCACAATATAGTGGATAATCAATTTATGTTTTCTATGAAGCGTACCACTGAGTGAAAATTTAGTTGGTATTGTTGCTCTTCCATGTGATATGTTGCCAAGTTAAACAACCTATTTGCTGTTTGCACGCCAGTCACAGATGCTAAATAAGCACAAAAATTTTATGTACTTTTATTACTATAAATATACATATAGTATCTAGCACACTTTAATTACATACGTATCCCAGCGAAAAATATAACCTTCCGGAATTTGTCTTGTGAGTATTAAGTATAAAGTTAAATTAAACTTCATACATGTTAAAATATAAAGTGTTACTTAAGTAACAACACCTTATTATACCCTTTATAGCTAGTATTCTGGACGCCCAGAAATACAGTCCTTTGATTTAAATTGAACTATTTGATGATTAAATTTAAAATATACATTTTTAAAAAGAAACCTAGAATAAATGTTATCCTGTATCCTGTAAATGTTAAAGTTTAATGTTATCTAATGCTCTGCAGATTTTAATTTGTTTAATTTATATTTTTTTTAAATTGCTTTATGGGTTATTTTCTGTTCTTAATAGAACAAGAAATATTAAATAACTAAAACTTTATCCGGTTATCCGGTTAGTCCGCTGCTTTTGATTAATCACTTGTAAATCAGAAACATAAAGTAAGAAAAGTCAAAATCTAGTTTAAACATTAAATTTATTATTTTAGATTTTTTATTAGATCTCACCATATCTGAATCAGTAACAATGATATAATTTATTAACAATTAAAATACAGTGCCCTTAAAATAAAACTTAAAGTAATAAAATTTCATGAATGCACGTGATATGTCATAAAGTAAATCGGAATTTAATAAAGTATTAATTATTAATTAATTTATTGTAGACAAATTAAAAATATAAGATGGGCAGTACAAGAAGCAAGTAATTATCACAATAACACGTCAATTGAATTACTCGACATTAAAGAATAGGCCAAAGTCACAAAAGAAACTCTTCGAAAAATAAAGAAGGCTACGTTCCAAAAATTATTTGGATCTTTAAAATATTGAAATTTAAAAAAATTGTATTTATGTTATTAATTTTTGTAAATGTAGTTGTTACATAAGATCGTGTCAAGTATTGTATAGTTTAGAGTAAATAGTCAACTATAAATATATAAATCACATCCCAAAAAACTAAATCCATAATCTTGTCTGCTCATGAAACAGTCTCCGCTTTTTTTATGGTCGGTTTATCAAGAAAATAGATTGTCTCGAAGGATCTTTCATTTTTACAGCTTAGCATAGTATTCGTGTGTGATCTATAGATAAATATCGACAGAGAAAGTCTTTTCGGTAGCACTGAATTATTTGTAAACACTATTTATTGTAAATAAAATAACTACCTATCTTGAAGACAACTTTTACATATGAAAACGCTGAACAAATGTGCAACTGAACATTTTTACTACTGTAATATAAATGAAGAAAAGTCTTGTGCATTTTTATTCACCGATCTTACATCACTTGATCATAGAGTTTATATGCTACATCCGAACTCATTACCTTATTTGTTCTTTCAACTTTTTTGGTAGTCATACGACCAGAGGAAACTTGGTTCACCAATTTTGAATGATTCTATTGGATGATAAAGTATCTTCAGACATGATTTTTTTAATCAAATTCACTAAAATTGGAAGACTTGGCGAAATGATCTAAACTTTAATATTGGTGAAATAAGCTAGACTTAATCTTTTAAATATTGCTAGATTATAAAAAATATTACAAAAGTATGCTCAAACTTATTTTGTACAAACTTATTTTGTTATTGTACAGTTATCACCAACTTCTCAAACCATCTACATGTATATATCTAAAAAAAGATATATGTATTATACTTTTTTATACTTCTTTAACACCATTTATATATAATCATATAATTTTTAAGATAATACTCAAACTAATGATATCCATACTATTTCATGGAAATTTCCTTGATTAATTATTCAGATTTTTCTATATCATCTTTAAGATAAAAACTATGGTCATATAACAATGTTTCGAATAAAAGATTTTAGTTAAAGTTACTTCAATTGGTAACCTCATCTGATTAATTTAATCTTTGTTAATTAAACTATATAAACTATATATGAACAATATAAGTAATATCCACGTACTTATGCTAAATAATAAATCTAGGCTTATGCATCGACTTAAATTTGTGTAAGCTCAAACTTTATAAAACTTTTAACTCTAATCCGAAACTTTTCTATAGCATCTCTATAACTATTGTCTAGGAATATCGTAGTTAATCTTGCGGTCAGATTCTTATTTACAATTTTTTTTCAATCGCTTTGGTAGATACTATATTTTTCTCATCCTTGAAGTTACACTTACTGCATATAATTTTTATTTTCGGATAAATAATTGAATAATATGTGCAATTACTCAAATTATAAGATTATTCATCTTTTTATCCTGATTATTTTTTGTTTAATATGCTTTGTTGATACCAACAACTTATGATATTAAACAATTTGTTAAGAAATACAATATATACATAATTTAAAATTGTTATTAAAATATTTTATACCAAACAATGTTCTTCATTGTCTAACAACAAATGTGATAATAAGAATAATCTTCTTTGTATTCCTAAATAAAATTTAGATCTAATCATTCTAAAAATGTAGTTTTATTGTCCATCATATAAGCTGTTGTTATATCTTGAATAACAATTAAATTAACAAGATAAGGTAATCTTAAATTTTATAGCAAAACTGGCTCATGTTTCTAATACAAAGTACATATTTAGCTAAACTTCAAACTCTCCGCAAAGTTTTTTTTATATATGTCTTATATAAATACCATTAGTAAATTGTACAATAACAACAAAATCCTTTCGTTTTTTGCATAAATATAGTTATTGGCAATTTATTATATGCTTAAAAATTATTTATAAATTGTCTCAGAATATTTAAAAAGTTTTCCAATTTTAAGATAATTGACAGTCTTACAAGGCTAAAACGCATGTACACTTTGTGTACCTTCACAGACGTAGATCAATGTAATTTTTTGGGGGACCCAGAATATACGCCCAAATGACTTTTTAATATTAATATTAAATTTTAATATTTAAAGTATAAACAATTTTTTTTAAAATATTTCTAATCAGCAGAAGGTAATAACTGAATACAATGTTAACTATTTTTATTAGTAAGTCGCCTTCTTAACTTAATGATATTGAAAGCTTCTTAGTTCTTATAACTTTTTTTTATTACAATTTGAATGTGTTATAACCAAATCCAATCCAAATCCAAAATTATATTTCAACTAATAGAATACAAGAGCATTTTTGAAAGTATATCAATGTAAATCAAAACCAAACCTTCAAAATAATTTGAATAATTCTAATTAATTTTTAAATATATAGTTGCAACACAAATTATCCAATTTTTTTTCAGTCCTTTCATAACATTATCTCTATTATCCTAAACTAATCAGAAGAGATACCAAGGAACGACGACTTTAGTTTCAAGCCAAATCTAATAATTGATAGTATGAAATCCATAAATTTTTGTTATGTGAAGCTAAATTCTTTAATCTGTAAATCAAACAGATATTCTTACGCAAATACTTTAAAGTAGTTGAAAAGTTTTGTTTACTTTCCAACCACATCTGTGGGAAAAAGTTATGGTGAACCAAGCTACAAATATCGAAAAAACGACAGTTTTAGCTTCACGTGATCTAGTTCTCATAAATGTGAGATCAAACCTTTAAGAATCTTGTTGATTTGAAAAGGTTTTAAATAAAATTTTTATACTTTTGAAGGAACCATACACCGAAGCATCTCATAACCAAAATATCTACTATTTAAAATATCTACAAATGAAAATCTAGCACCTCCTTCAATAAAAGACCAAATAATTTTAAATTAAGATTTTTTTTGGATCACAATAAAACTTGCCGCCACAATTGACTTGTACTTTTTCTTAAAAATAGAACGGCCGTGCTATATAATTATGATATAGTGTTGTCCGCGTGCCATCTTTTTAAGCTGAAATGACTATTAACTAAACCAGTTTTCCCTGGTTTAGCTGTAGAAGTTAAATCATAAGCTGTAGAACGATCATGTAGCTGTAGCTGTATATTAACTTAATAATTTTATTTTTTAAACAATTTAAGAATTCTGAGTGGGGGGTATCCCCCTTAAGCTCTCTCATATACAAACTATGTATGCAGTGCGATACATGCATCTGAAGCTGTAAGAAATATCAATTACACAATAATTTATATGATTCTCAAAATAAGAAACATATTGAAACCTTTATTGCCTTTTCTGCCAATTTAGTTTTGGTTTTATTTAATTTTTAATAAATTTGTGTGTGTGTGTGTGTGTGTGTGTGTGTGTGTGTGGGGTAGAGGAAACGAAATTTATTTAAAATCACTTATTTCGATAGTTGTAACGCATACGCAACATTTTCATACCAAAAAATGCGTTTGTTTGACAAATACAGCTTTAAGGCCATTTAAGTCAAGTTGCCAGTCACTATTTCAAAAAAATTGAAGCAATAAGTAGTATTTTTTCAAATCTATAGTATCTGACAATTGCAAACCATTTCTTTAGATTTGGCATACAGCCCGAAGCTTAACACATTATCTTGTACTGAATGGGTGCATTGTATAAATATGTATACATACATTCACATGCACTAAACACAAATCTGCTCTCAACGTATAAATTTTCCAATATTATTTAAAGGCATTTACGGCTACGCAGCCTGACCCAGTTAAGTGTTAAGTTAATTTCTTATCGACTAACAGATTGAATTATTGTTTGTAATCGCATTGAGCCAAATTATATATGTATATACATTTTATATACATAGTTATCGTTCAGTGTGTGGTGTCCAAACATGCAACTGTTTTTCACTAAAAATTGCAAAGCCAACAGAGATAAACAATTATGACTACTTTTATATAAAAAAATTAATTTACATTTTCTATAAAATTAATCATCAAACATTTTATTCTTAAACAGAAATAATAATATAATAATAATAAAATAATAACATATAAAAAATCTTATCGACAGTAAATAATATCTGCATATATTAACAATTTATAATTAGTTAAACTTATATTCAACGACTGATCCTCTTTTTTTCATTATTACAGTCTAATCACTAATCTTGCTTTTGAGTTGTCCTTGGTACGCCTACTAATCAATACTCTTACTTTCTTACTTAAATGGCCATTACAGACGTGAGTAGTCCGTGGTGGCGTCGACTAGCCTCCGTCAACCACACCGATTAGTTGCTTACTGTCGCCTGTTGGTAGTACCGAGCTCCCCAAATCATTGGTCACCTAGTCCTTCTACCGAAGATGCCGACTTCTTCTATCACGTTTGTGACCTGTAAATACCGAATCAAACACCATTCTAGCCGGAGCACTTTCTTCCACTCGCACGACATGACCAAGCCAGCGAAGTCGCTGAATTTTTATGCGCTTTACTATGTCAATGTCGCGGTATAGCTTATATAGCTCATCGTTCCATCTAATTCTATACTCATCACTAACGTGTAAGGGACCATATATCTTCCGAAGAATTTTTCTCTTGAATGCGCCTAACGCCTTCTTGTCATGTTGGTAATTGTACAGGAGGATACGTGATTTTTGTTTGTCGAGAGGGAGCTTTATTTCTCAATTGCCTACTTAGCCCGAAGTAACATCTGTTGGCAAGAGTGAGTTTTGGTTGAATCTCTAGGCTGACTTTTTTTTAGTGTTTATCACAAGACCCATTTGCTTCGCTTGCTTATCTAAGTTGGAAAATGCCAATGATATCAATATCATCGGCATACGCAAGCAGCATTACACTTTCGTATAATATTGTGCCAGTGCGGTTTAAATATGCTGCTCGAATTATCATTTCCAAAATTAGGTTAAAGTAGTCACACCAGACTCAATTATAAAACTGATATACAACACTGTGCTTAGGTGTATTATAACACCTTCGACAAATCCGGAAGAGGATAAATATATAAATTCTATATATATGTTTGAGTATGCGCTAGAATGTCATTTAATTCCACGAGATGGAGACATATATCATAATATTAACAAAGCCATCAATTAAATAATTACTGTTGGATATTTATCTATTCTAAAAAAATATCCTGACTTTCATGATCATGCGATTGAACGCGGCTAAACTGTTTCTATAGACGGACATGGTGCATTGTTTTATGGGTATAAAATATACCTTCCAATACTCGAACAAGTGGTCGAAAATTGAAGTACTAATTATCGTTATATTTAGCCCAGTAATTTTGCACAATATATATTATATCTTCAAAGTAATGTTAAATTAAAACAAAATGTTGATTAATTAAATTTAATTCGTCTCGGTTTTAAGTATAATTAAATTAAGCCAGGAAGTGCTTCGCTGCATATATCAATTTCTTCAAGGTATATTTTATTAAGTATTTTATTATACGAATACATAAACCAATGAGAGTTTTCATTTCCTGTAATTTCAAAGGTATTATTGCATTAACCTTATGCAAATTTTTCATCATCTACAGGTTGTGGTCATAATCTATTTATTCAAATCTATATGTTAATTATACACAGCATTCCGCCATGTAACTGTTTTCCTAAGTTTCTTATGTTTTGAAGAGTTTTAATAATATTTAAAATAAATTTTAAATTTTTTATTTTCATTTATTAATATATAACAAATTTTATGTCCATTTATATTTTGTTTTACTTTGAGTATGCTTTATTAAAAAGAAAAAATGTTTAAATTATATTTTGAATATCATTTTGATTTAACGCTAGTAGCAATAAAGTATTTGTATTATTTTGCATTAATTAAGCAACTTTGTTCTATAAAATTTTAATCAAAGATTCTATGAAGCTTGAGCTATCTACTCCAAGTTAAGAAAAGTTTAACAAGGTAATCTTCAAATTAAAAACACTGTTAAGAATCTATTAAGCTAGCACAGTCTACTCTAAGTTAAATTATATGACATTCTGCGAGGTAATCTTCGAATTAAATTTTCTGTTTAGAATCTATTATACTTGCACTATCTCCTCCAAGTCAAGATATATGTGTTATGGTAACAACCTTCGCATGAGAACATAATTTAAATATACCCCGGAAACTTGGGTTTCGATAAATAAAATCAGACCAATGCCACAGTAATTCCATCAGAAATGTGTAAGCACCATTTTTTAAGAATCTGTTGGTCAAGAATTATTTTAAATGATTGTCAGAATTTAGTTCGCTTTCTATAAAAAGTACTTGTGGTATTACAATGAACCTATTTCATAATGTTTAAGTCAGCCTTTCATAAGACGCGACAAATATAAGAGATCATCTTTCAAATACTATACACAACTGATTACAACAAAGTTTTCCCAACATGAACAGCACAAATCTTTCTACACATATATGCTCCATTCTTTCCTTGAGGCATCGCAATAAAATTTGCAATTGTAGCGAATTTTTTTCTAAATTTCAGCTTGATTGACAACAATATCTAATATGAAAAAATTAATGTTAATAAAATATTTAAATTAAATAAAAATAAGAAATAGGTTTACTTATGTATCATGATAAAGTTCCGCTATATCAAGATATAATAATACTAATACGAGTATAACTTCTAGGTTTAATAATTACTACGTAAGCACTGCAGTTTAATGATTTTGTATCTTAGAGATATATAAACTGCAAAATACACAATAGACATTAACCTATTTATATATATGTTATGCTCATACCCACATTTCTTTTTTTAATCAAATTGGTCATTTTAAAGTAAAAAGATATTCCATAGCAGTGTATGGGCAAAACAAAATATTTTGGAAGAGTAAAGACATATTAATGTCCTCCTATTTGTTTTTATCCATTTCATGCCGAATCCAAATCTTCTTTAAAATTAAAAAATATTATTTAAAAGGATGAAGAGGTCTTTAGTTTATCCGCAGATACTTTTAATTTGAAAAATATTTCATATAAGAAATAATTGATTTAAAGAGCAATATCAGTTAGTTCATTTTATTTTTGTATACTTTGGACAATTATAGTTTTTTAATCAAACTTTGTGCTATTTTTATTTAAAATTAGTGTATTGGAGAATACTGAGGTAATGTTAAACTTTTGTGCAGCATTGTATTATAAAAATAGTTCTGAAATTTACATGGTACCCAAACCTACAAGACTATTAGTTATAGTATCATGATTCATTGGGTAGAAGAATAAACATGAAGATATTAACGTTTTGCCGGTGCTCAAGATACAACACATAATTGCATCAAAGATTCAGTAACTACGAAGACTTAAAAGGCACCACGACTTGCAATTACCACATATACATATTTGTATACAATCACCACTAGTATACAAATAAATAAAAGAAATTTCTTCCAAAAACGGGACCTATATTTGCAATGATAAAGTTCCCCCTAAAACTCGAAAATCATTATGTTTTTTTTTCTTGTAATCCGTTTTCCCAATATTTACAAAATTCATTTTAATTTTGGTTTTTCTCGTGATTATTTAATAAATTCTATATAATGGAAAATTTACGAGTTTACTTATTTTGCAGTACTGTTTGTATTGTTAAAAGCTTGTATTAAACTAAAAATAAACTATTAGTTGATTTAACGGTTACTTTTATTTTACATAGTTTTATATAGTTATACAGTTATATATAATTTTACATGTAAGGAATTTTGCATTTGGCATAGAAATATCCATAATGTTACCATTTTTTTTTTCTTAGTAATCACAATTTTTGTTTAAAGTACATCCAATTATTGTGTTTTGTGGTTAAAGTAGATTTAAGTAAATTAAGGTAAGTGATGGAGACCTTGATTCAAAATTTTCAATTCTTCAAGGTGTATTTTATTATACAGTCTATTATAAATATAGAACCATGAGAACTTCTATTTCCTGTAACTTCAGGAACTTTGTTGCACTAATCGTATGCAAATCTAAGAATCATTTGCGGGTTTTATTGGTAATCTAATTATTTAAATAAATATGTTAATCATACGACACGCCGCGCTATGTAACTGTTCTTAGTATTGTCCGAGGTTAGTGAAGTATTTCAAATAAATTTTAACCGACTGAA